GGATTTGTTTTCTTCTTATGGCTGAATAATATTCCATCGTGTATATGTACCACATCTTCTTTATCCATTCATCTACTGATGGACACTTAGGTTGCTTCCATTTCTTGGCTATTGTAAATAGTGCTGCAATAAATATAGGGGTGCACATGTCTTTTACAAACTGGGCTCCTGCATTCTTAGGGTTAAATTCCTAGGAGTGGAATTCCTATGTCAAATGGTATTTCTATTTTTAGTGTTTTGAGTAACCTTTATACTGCTTTCCACAACAGTTGAACTAGTTTACATTCCCACCAGCAGTGTAGGAGGGTTCCCCTTTCTCCACATCCTCGCCAGCATTTGTTGTTCCTAGCCTTTTCTATGTTGGCCATCCTAACTGGTATGAGGTGATATCTCATTGTGGTTTTAATTTGCATTTCCCTGATAATTAGAGATGTGGAGCGTCTTTTCATGTGGCTGTTGGCCATCTGAATTTTTTCTTTGGAGAAATGTCTGTTAAGATAAACTGTCTTTTTTTTTTAAGTCCGTATGAATAAATACATACCTGACTCACTACTTTTAATGACTACAAATTAGTACACATTTACATTGACTTAACATACTTTAACATGTTGATGGACTTTTCAATTGTTTTCCTATTTCTGTTATGAACATACTACAATGAATGTTGAAGTGCATGCTATGGGTACATTTATCTATGGGTTGACTGTAGACAAGTAAAATTATTAAAGGGGAAATACATTTAAAATTTTAATGGATATTGCTTACTTTATCTCCAGCCCACATCCACACTCTGGTCAAAATATTATTATTATTATTATTTTGCTATCATTAATGTATAATTACATGAGCAACATTATAGTTACTAGACTCCCCCTATTATCAAGTACCCACTACATACCCCATTACAGTCACTGTCTGTCCATCAGCAAAGTAAGATGCTGTAGACTCACTACATGTCTTCTCTGTGTTGTACTGCCTTCCCCATGTCCCCACCCTGAACATTATACATGCTAATGGTAACCCCCCTTTTTGCCCCTCATCCCTCCCTTCCCACCCATCCTCCCTGATCCCTTTCCCTTTGGTAACTGTTAGTCCATTCAGGTTCTGTGATTCTGTTGCTGTTTCATTCCTTCTTCTTTGTTCTTATGCTCCACAGATGAGTGAAATCATTTGATACTTATCTTTTTCCACCTGGCTTATTTTACTGGGCATAATACCCTCTAGCTCCATCCATGTTGT